ATATATATATTCAACTTACTCAGTTGTGAAGTATGTTAAGTGTATTTACAACAAACCTAAAGCAACTCATTTTGATCAAAGTGCTAAATGTTAAAAATTAAAGAAATTTAAAACCATAACTTCCCTAAAGGAATGTTCATCACCCACCTCCTTTTATGCTATACTTAAACATATTATCTTAAAAAGTGATGGAGGTTTTGCCTTTTTCATCAAACTTGAAAATTATATTGTAGTTATATTACTCACAAAATGGTAGCATTTGAAATACTGGTATGTGTTGTGAAAAACTCTCAACTATTACCACACCAAATCTCAGCTCAGCATCTGTTAAAAACAACATCATATCCATTTTGTGTTTTCAAGTCTTAGTTGTTGCTAGGGGTTGAACGAGTATATAATTTTTAAACTCGACATTAACATAATAAATCCTGAGTAGAACTCGAGTGTTTGATGACGTCATAGATCTCAAGATACAAAAATAAATAAATAAATAAAACTGCAATAAAAGGTAATTATTTACAAAAAAAAAGACCAACAAAACATTGGGAGCGTATATTATGCTCCTACCATTTATCATACTGCAAGTCACAGGAAAAACTAAACTATTTGTTATTATTATTAAACTGCAAACTAAGCACGTCAGAAACTAAACTTAAAACAGTGGATGGGCGGTGGATTGGACCCGGTGTTACACCATACTCTGTGACCTGCAACAGTGCAACACCGCCCCCTACGGTCATACGGTGGTCACATAATATGACGTCACTACGGTTACTCGACATTACATTTTTAACCTTGATAGAGGTCCTAGCAATCGATGTGTAGATTACTCGAGTACTCTGTTAATGCCCTAGTTGTGGCAGCCATCTTGAATTAAATTTACTCCAAAAGGTTATCAGTTGTAGATGTACATCCAATTAATCTTTCTTTAAAGTTAACTAAAAAGTTCACAGACAATTTGCTAATATAGATACATAGTTCTATAACATACCCTGTGGGTGTTTAGAGTGCTCTATAAATAAAGCTGGTATGGTATAGTTGACTCAAAACAGTTTTAAATTTTCCCTTTAACTAAGATCTTAAACAATCAGTCAGAGCATAAAATATGTTTTGGGAATCAGTCTCAGCTGTTACCACACCAAGTTTTAGCTGAATATCTATAAATTTGACTGAGTTATGCTCTTTTTTTTTTCCTGTTTTAAAGGTCAGTCATCTGTGGCAGCCTGGCAATAATATTGATAAACTCTGTAACACTCTCAATTTATTAAATATTCTGTATAATATATATCTAAAAAGCTACTAAAACTAAGGGAAATTCAAGGGTAAATCGTTATATTTATGTTTAATGTAAGTGCTTTTGGGACCATTTTAAAAACTAAAAAGCACAAGCCAGTGTATTTCTTGTGTCTATCCCAATCCAGGGTAAATGGTGAGGGTTGTGTCAGGATAGGCATCCCACGTACAACATCCATCCATCCATCCATCCATCTTTTACATCTTTAACCCGCTTCTTCCTTTTTGGGTCAAAGGGGTCGTCGGTGCCCATGTCCAGCAGTCACTGTGCGAGAGGTGGGAGACACCCTGGACAGGTCTCCAGTTCATCACAGGACCACATAGAGACAAACAAGACAAACAACCATTCACTCTCTCTCACACACCTAGGGACACAATTCTTTCATCACTACAACCAACCAAAGCAACACCCTCATTACTGTGGATGAGGACCTGCTCTATCTATCCATCAAATGCTTCATCCAACTATCATTCAGGAACATGCATAGATACTTGAACACACCTCTTGATACACAGAATCTCTGCCAACCCAGAGGGAGCCTTCAACCAAATAAGATGTGTGAGGGTTTCTATGTGTTAGCAAAATATCTCATGAACACTGGATGGATGTTAATGAAATTCAAGAAAGTCACTTAAAAAGACTTGGTGTCAACCCAATCCAAGATGGCCACCACAGCCAGTTGATCTTAGCCAACAAAAATTACTATAATTCCATCACTTTACAGACATTCAAATAAAATGTGTGGTAATAGCTGAGAGACATCCCCAACATGTACTTTACCAGATCTCCTGAGAGCTGTATTACACAAGGCAATATATGATATTCATTCTTTCAAATAGTTTTTAGTTTCACATCAGAGGTAAATGAACTCAACAGTTTGCAGTAGGTGGCTTGAATCCAGACAGACAATCTTTTAAAACATATATAATTTGTATTTTACAGTCAGCGAGGCGACAGAATCATTAAATCTGATTGAGTTATGAATGTTCCAGCTTCAACCTGTAATTACAGTAAAATGTCTGAGTTTGACTGAGCATATAGAATGTACACATAAACTTGTATAATAGAGCACTGACTCCTGGTACACATCAGTCCAAAGGATTTTCAGATAAATATGCTGAAGTGCTAAACCTGACTACATTTCAAAATAAGAAGAACTCAATCATGGCCACATCAGCTGGGTTATGAAAATACGAAATATTTTTTAATAATTGTAAGACTTGAAAGTTAAACAACCAATCTGGGTCTAGATAAGACTTAATTTAGGTCAAGATCAGGACTGGAGTCAACACTTGGAGTTGGACCAGTTTCAGGCTCCTGTCCTCCTGTCCCATGGTTCATTTGTGTCTTGGTCCTTGTTTGATGTCTCAAAACATGGGTTAAAACCTAAAAACTCAATATCTAGTGTGATGCCATGGCCTTTGCCTCAGAAAAATATAAACCCTATTCCACAAAAAATATATTAAGTTGTGTTAATTTTTTTATTAATGTTATCTAGCTTATATTTCAGATCTTATTGTTCCATATTTTCCTAACTGAGCACTTTGCGCTCAGACTGCAGGTTTATTGTGGTTCCTAGAGTTTCCAAAAGCAGAATGGGAGGCAGATCTTTCCGTTATCAGGCTCCTCTCTTGTGGAACCAACTTCCAGTTTCTGTCCATGAGGCTGACACAATATCCAGTTTTAAGACTGGGCATAAGACTTTCCTTTTTGCTAAATCATATAGTTAGTGTCAGCTTCGGTTTCCTGAGCTATCCCTTTATTATGTTGCTATAGGCTTATACTGCTGGAGGATGAACTGGATACATTTCTTCACTATGCAACTGTCTTTACTTATTCTGCTCCACCTGGTTTGTATTTGTAATTATTTTTTCTATCCTAACATGTGTTTTTGTCTTCCATGTTCACCTGCACCTACATCTGGACCTGTCATTCTGTGTCCGTTTGTCTCTCCTTTCTGTCCTCTCAAACCCAGCTGGTCAAAGCAGATGGCCACTCATCCTGAGCCTGGTTCTGTTGGAGGTTTCTTCCTGTTAAAAGGGAGTGTTTCCTTTCCATTGTTGCCATTATGCTTGTTCAGGATGGGAGACTGCAACAAAGTGACGATTCAATGTCTGCTGGCCTCCTTAGATAGAGAACTTTACTAATTGGTTTTTCTATGTATGTGAATGTTTCTGTACAGTGCCCTGAGACAACTTTGTTGTGAATTGGTACTATATCAATAAACTGAATTGAATTGTGTAGTGGACTAGGCCTCCGACCAAAACCTGCCTCTGAAGACCTTCATGGGACAGGAACTGTTATTTCATTGATTTGAATCCAGAAATACAAATTAGCTCATCCAGAGACTGTCTAATTGTATCCTGAAGTAATCAATTGAAAGAACACTCTTCTTTTATATTATCATCACTATTTTCCTGCCAGTCTGTGATCGAACAGACTGGCAGGTTTTCAGAGAAGCTGCTGAAAATGGAGGTTCGCTTGATCTTGACCAATACACATCCTCAGTTCTGGGTTACATTAGTACATGCACTGACACCGTCTCCACTGTCAGAAATGTTAAAAGCTACCCAAACAGAAAACATTGGCTGAATGCAGAGGTGCGTACCCTGCTGGAAGCCAGGAACACTGCCTTCAGGTCTGGAAACTCAGAGGAGCTGAGTAGGACAAGAAAAGAGCTGGTTGCTGGTATTAAGAGGGCCAAGGCCACATATGCAAAGAGGATCGAGGGTCAATTCATCTCACAAGACCCTCGGAGCATGTGGAGGGGCATTAAGTGCATAACAGATTACAAAGGAAGGAGTGAACAATGCCCCAAAGACCCATCTCTGCCTGATGCCCTCAACAAGTTCTATGCACGCTTTGAAGACCCAAACAGACCACCCAGCACCAGACTCACCTCACCACCGGATGAAG